GGCGCTGGAGGCATAGGCTGGGGAATTCGAGAAGGTTCGGTGCTTGTAGGGGAGGAATCCACTACAAAGTCTCCCGGTGACAACGAATAACGATGATAATATCACTAACCGACTAGGTTGCCAATCCTTTAGGACGAGCCAACTAATTGTAACAAATTGTTCAAATGTTGGTACAAAAGTGCTTATGTGGTTAAACACCAACCTGGCGTTATAAGGATAAGTGAACCATAGGACCAAAATGTATTTCCAGGTGAATTCCCGAGTACCAGTAGCAGACCTACAGAAAATTTTTAGTAAGTATCCAGTCATGAAGTAATAGCATAATGTATTATGGTTGCACATAATTATAATATATTTACAGTAGATGTTTGTTACAGAACGAAAGAAATGGGAGACCGTCACAGTGGTATATGAATTGGAGGTTCTTCCAATGGGAAATTTTAATCAAGAGACATCAAGCTGCGTAATTTTCGTAAGCCGAGGGAGAGCATTTCCTTGATCTTGCAGAGGAATAATTTCCCACACTACATGAACCTATTTTCCCTTTAAGATGCACAATTAGACGGCCGCACACCAATCAATAAAGTGCCGCGCACTTAATTTTCCACCCACGCATATCATCGACAGTGGCATCTCTACAGGTATTTCATAGTAATAAACATCATAAGCAACGCACCTTGCTAATTTTCTATTGTTTCTATAGTCCTTCTACTTTTACACATCTCTGGTTAACTTAACAAATACATTATAACTTTTTGTCAACTGATGGCTCACATCGCACATTACCTTGATGTTGGAGCACACAACAAAATTATTACGCACTATGGTTGTAAAAATATATAGGGAACCTTGGACAGAACCTACTAATTCCTAAACGGATGTATACCTTAGGAATGGAATTTGAATTAAGAGATTCGTGTTCATCTGGCTGGCCCTAGGTGTAAATTTGCTAAAGGTGTAGAAACTGTCGCCAACAATGTCAAGGAATAATCCAAGAAGACCGGAAAATTCGTCATCCAAGTTCCCAAATACTACTGGGTAGACAGAGGTAAATGGCGTAAAGAAGCTTTTCCATAGTTCACCCTGCATGGGGATCGTACCCTGGACCACCCACTTGTTATGCCTGCATAACCACAGGTCACCAATCACAAACGAATTCTTTTAGAAAAAGATAGTCAGCCTGAAGGTCAAGAGAACCGTGGGATTAGATGGAGTATAATTAAATGTGTTAATATTGGGAGCAAATGAGATATTGACATCACTAAGACTACAGTTCAGAAAAGCCCTGGTTCAAGAGAAAGTGTCAGGGCTAACAAGAAGAAACTTTACCCCGATCTTGAAGAAGTGAAGTGAGAATGCAGCAGAATTTTGAGACGCTATTATCAATTAGACATAATCTCATCAAATTATCACAATATGGACATATGATGGAAAAATTTGCAAGACAAATTTGCTCACATCCCTTGAAACAATGACATTATACGGACCAAGGTTTTCCAGTAAGTGTATTGTAAAGGATTTTCACAAGGGTTTCAGCAAAGTCCCACATGCAATACTGGATCCTGTTAGTCAATCTCTTGATAACACTAGAAAGGTACTAAATGTATTTAAACAAAGGCTCAAAACTGGAATCAAACAGTGATTTTAATAAAAGGAGGGCGAAATGGAAAACAGTTTTTAGTGGATTATCACATGAAACCATATTGGGACGTACCTCGTGGTCTACGTCAGCAATCTAAAAGGGAATATATCAGCCATATCTTCTAGATTGTGAACAATACATATGTTCATGTAAAGACTTTGTATCCATAAACATCGATTATCACGAACTTTTCAGATGGTCGAGTGACTGGCACACGTTATTTGATATCGGAGAGTACAAAACTATCCATGCTGGGCACAGTAAGCCAACGCACAATTTTGAAGTCGACAATATTTTTTTTCCCTCGTACTATAAGGACCTGGATGTTGACGATGACAGTCAGTGAAAGCAACGCAAGAAGTGGAAGCAGATGTGAAAAAGACCTAAAAAATAGAAATTACAAATCGTATCTTTGAATATAATGACAGGGAAACCATCATTTGACGCTAAAAAAACAACACTTTAAAAAGACAACATTGAAAAAGTGCAACCGTAAAATCATTCCTAAGAGAAAACACCTTGGATTATACGAGTAGATGAACTAATAACTCAATGAGGCCTTAGACCAAACACAACAGGGCATATCTCATTAAGTCAAAAGCATAAACATTTTGGAAAACCTAAACCTAAACCAATTCTTGTAGACATCAAATACTAAACACACAAAGGGTCATTGGCTCTATTCAAGAAGACCAAATCGTCACGCAGAACGTGTATAAGAAAATACTGTAGATCCTTATGCATAGAGTATAAACCTATAAACCGTCTACTTACCAAAGCCATGGAAGCAAGTACAGTACTAGTCTATAACGTAACACTGGTGAAGATCACCATGAATAATATAGGGATCTGAAGAAGTCACGAAGAGGAGACTAGTAGATGTTGTGGTCACTACTCGAACGGGGTAAACAAGAAGACACAAATAGTTGAAAGAATACAACATGAAGTAAACATTTACATCATCCTGATAAGATGAAATATGATTTTAGGATTTAAGAGTAAAATTAGAAGACATTTTAGAAACGATTAACGTCAGAAAAAGAGTGTGTTTATTTTCCCTCCTTCAAGTGTAGAAAGAGGATCGCTACCATCCACTTCTCATCCCACTCCTTGAAACGTGAACATTGATTTTATTAACATCTCATAATTATATATAATTAAATTTTTTAACTAGGTTCGGTTAAATCTATTATGACTTATGAAATGAGAAATGTGGAATGGCATGTTTATTTCCACTGTTAGTAAAACAGATAAAACACTCACTGTATTAAAGTATGTGTATCAGACTAGTGCAGCATTGAGATCAAGTTACATGTACAATTTATATTTTCCCCCATGCTAAGAGTCGCTCTCATATACATCTCTTAAAGAAGAAAACACTCGTATTACTTTATTGCAGAGCTTTGAGTTGAATCTTGGTCCTTCATGTACTTACACTATACTGCAATTTAAGCCAGTATGAAAAATTTTAATATAATAATGTCGATTACAGTGTTCAGAATGATAATTTGATATAACATCAAGGAAACTTTACAAGATAAAATAATAAGCCAGGAGAGATTTATAACACGTAGTTCATTAGCTACTCCAGGTCAAACAGATCAAGCAATATGTTTTTAATAAGTTTGTTTAAGTTTATAGGTAGGTTCATAATGTAAGAAATACAGAAAAATCTTAAAATATAGACGTAATGACAGAAACGGGGAGAGTTCTATGAAAATACCTGAGTTTTATGGGGTATATAACGAGTGAGCTCTATAATGAAAAGTAATAACTTCTGTAGCGAAAACCTGCGAGTCTTCTCGTTATTGGCTATACAGTATTCTGATAAATGTGAGCATAAAATCGATAAAAGTTTACCTAGTAAGGCTTATCGTCCTCCAGTAACACATATGGCAGTAAATCAATGCGACTCATTCAGTAATATATAATGAAGGGAAGTGTCTACCAACCCACAAATCCCTAGATTATTCTATTGTAATATAAAGGCATTCCACATGAATTCCATTTTTTTTAGTAAAACTATAGATACATTGATTCGCCTCTGATTTTCATGATAAAACTGTCATGCGATTATTATTATTTTCTCCACTAGAGGTTGCAATTTCAGGCATATTCACCTTGAGATTACTCAGATGTCTGAAAATCAGTCCCAGTTCCTAGTGATTATTATTGTGGATCACACGAATGGTTGATGAGATTAGGTTTACATTTCCGTTTCGACGTTTGCAGTATGTTCACACCTTCAGACTGTTTACATCTCCCCCAAATTTGGCATCAAGTTACCCAATCATTTTATCCTTATTTTCGAATGTGAAAGCAAATAAAAATTTCTGTGGCAAGAGTGTTTGGTATCCGGGCACCAGAATTTTGTATGTGGTGGCCTTGATAGTTTGATCAGGGATCTACATGTTTAGACGCTTGCCTTATATACACAGAGGACTGCTATTGTTTGTACACGTTGTCCATTCGGAGCTTTTAAATTTATTTACATATGAAGAGTTGTGGTAATTATTTCATTCTTTTTTTTATGTATTGTGTTTAAGTAAAACGCACATACTGTATACTGTAAGTGCCAAAAATATGCATGCGTGTTTCTGGATCCATCACACCGCATGAGCGTGTAAACAAAAATCTTTATTAACTTAATTTAAATTAGTATTTATGAAAAATAATGGATATTTTATACTTCAAATTCACCACTGTAACATAGGTCTATCACAGTAGTGAATTTAAAGTAAAAAAAAATCCATTATTTTTATAAATACAAAATTAAATCAGGTATCATATTAACCTTTATTTTTATTTTTTTATATTCACAGGAATGGTGTTTCTTTTCGGTAATGTCCAGCTTTCTTATTTATGTTCTATTTTATTATATGCAGAATCCTTATCATATTTGTACAGTGAGCTGTTATATTTGCATACAATACAAATAAATCCTTAAATATTTCTCAAATAATTTCTATGATTATCAATGGCAAAAGTGTGTGTATATATATATATATATATATATATATATATATATATATATATATATATATATATATATATATATATATATATATATATATATATATATATATATATATATGTGTGTATGTGATGTATGTATGTATGTATATATATATATATATATATATATATATATATATATATATATATATATATATATATATATATATATACAAACGTCAGGCTCCATTTTTGTTATTTTGATAATATAATTACATTCACAAATTACTAAAAGAATCTAGAATGTTTTAGTTAATATTTTTTTAAATTCTAGTTATATACTATAATTCGGAAATGTCCAATATGTACGATCTTTGAAAGTACACCTGTTAATTTCTGGGTAAGTTTTTCACATTTTTATTGTAAATAATTGATTTTCACAAACACGTTCTTAAAATGCTTAAATTTTTGCCAATACTCTTAGATCTCTGGAAATTAAACCACAGAAAACTATAATATACATCAGTTAATTCTTGAAATCTACAACCTATTATATAATATACAGCTATGCACAAAAGATACAAAGCAGAACATGTGTAACTAAGTACAGGCAACTTCCTAAGCTATGAGAAGCGATGACGCCCTCAGATCACAGACTTGGATGGTAACGTTTTATATACACAAAATTATGATATTGATAATTATTATTAAATAATTTGTTTCATCAACCAATGGTGATTAAATATCAGTACCCTACTGTAATTCGAGGTTAAATAATAATGAAATACTTTTAAATACATTATTTTCAGCTTACTTATTGTCATAAAAAAAGCTGTCTTTAATGTATGACGGCCATGGCTCAGACTTCAGAAATTACTAGAAATGGTCAGATCTACGTACCTGAATGAGTCTTCCACATAAATGTAAAATAATGAGCTAAGAAGAATTATATTTGCGGTAAAGGATGGCATAAAGGTCTCCTTTGTCTAACACTGGTGGTGGTTGGCGAGCGCCAGCAGGGGGGCTCACTGTTTTTTTCGCGATACCTCGAGGACCTGTACCGTTAAGAGCCTTAGAAGTCTGGTCTGGAGGTGGGGTAGGTGAGGGCACCATATTGGGTGGTAACATCGATGGCCGAGAATGCCCAAGGCCATTTTGTCAGATGGTAGGAAGGTGATCAAAGTTACGTGAGCCACGGTTGATAGGATGACGCATATCAGGTGAAGATGTCGTTGATACTGATCCTCCACCAACAGGCGTGCTGGCTAGCTGAGGAAGCAGCATGGACCCAGACACGCTTGGGTTCTGCAAGATGACCAGATACCAGTGTTGTTTATGAACATGAAAGACCTTAGTAGTAATATTATTTATTATAATTCTGACATCAAGAACACAAACATCACAAAATGTAGAATAGTTACTTAACCTGTGATATACAGCAAGGCCGGTTCTAGCTTCTGAGGGGCCCAGTGCAAGATAATGGTTGGGGGCCCAGTGCAAGATAATGGTTGGGGGCCCTGTGCAAGTTAATGGCTGGGGGCCCTGTGCAAGATAATGGTCAGGGGGCCCTGTGCAAGATAATGGTTGGGTGCCCTGTGCAAGGTAATGGTTGGGTGCCCTGTGCAAGATAATTGTTGGGGCCCTGTGCGAGATAATGGTTGGGCCCGTTGCAAGATAATGGTTGGGTGCCCTGTGCAAGATAATGGTTGGGTGCCCTGTGCAAGATAATGGTTGGGTGCCCTGTGCAAGATAATGGTTGGGTGCCCTGTGCAAGATAATGGAAGGGGACCCTGTGCAGGATAATGGTTGGGGGCCCTGTGCAGGATAATGGATGGGGGCCCTGTTTCTTAGACAACCCTCTTATCGTGCCAGTCCCTTATCCACATGTATTCCTGATTTGCTATAACATTGTCTTGATGAAAGTGCACACCCAGTATTATAGGATTACAAATACTTAAAATTATATAGAACAGTATAAGCTGAAAGGTGGAGAAAATAATAGGCAATGATGGAAAATGAAATCGATAACTGTAAATATACATAGTTCAATAATATGAAAAATTACATAATAAGAAGAAATAAAGGTAAAACTGTTGAAACAACTGTAACCTTGATTAGAAAAATAACAAAGACCTCAATATTTGTCAAACCATAAATGCCTTGAAGTGCTTAGAATCTGTACCTCCTTGATTTCCTCGAGGCAAAATCTTCAATAACACTATCACGAGACAGCTGTCTGTTAATCTCTTGATTAATACTGATAATAGCGAATTCACTAAGGCGATCTTGAGTCATTGTGGGTCTAAGATAGGTCTTTATACGCTTGAGTTTTGGAAAGCTTTTCTCTGCTGATGCCATTGTCACTGGGAGAGTGCAAGTAATCCGAAGTGCTATCCAAAGATTGGGATAGATTTCTTTCAGGTGCAAGGTAAGTTAGGAGTCCATGTACTGACATGTCGTCTTTCAACTCTTTTGGCAAATTTGGAAGGTTCCCAATTAAGGTGACCAGATCTCTTCTATCAATGTCACGAAGTGTAAGAGGATGCACCTAGGTCGTACCAACAGTAAAGCGGCTTATCACATGTCCCAATGGGATGAAGAAACTGCATTAATAGCGACCGAATGTGAAGAGGACCTGGGTGTATATGTTGACAATGAACTTAATTTCTCGGGTCATTGTGAGAAGAAGGTGAACCACGTAACTAAATTAGTAGGTCTTATAAGAAGGTCGTCCAGATGTCTAGATATCTATATGCACACTCAGTCGAGTGTGCATACCTGGAGCTGGCGACGCCCGCTCCCAAAGGGTCACAGCTCAAGGTTGAAGAAGCCACAAGTAAAGAAAAAAAATATTGCGAGGGCAAGCTTTTTCGGAGTGTTGTGACGGCACCGAATGTGAGGTCTTTCAAGACCAGACTTGACCAACACCGGAGCAGGTTCAGATACATTCAGGAGCCAGCGCATGCCCAGTATTTGCCAAAGGTATGTAACAGAGACGTGACCGACCGCCCAAGCGGCTAAAGAGCCGATCAATGGCAAAGAGAATAAAAGTAATATCAGCTTCTCCACGGCTTAACGTTTTCCCAATTCTTCACACTTCTCTGTCACTGGTTCATTGACCATATTTGGAAGGTTGTGCAACATTGAATTAAAATACGATTCCTACTAAACAACATATATATTGTATTCCGTGGGGGGGGGCGGGGGAGCAAGTGATGGGGGCCATGTGCAGCCACACAGACCGCACATTGCCCTGTATACAGCAGAAGAAAATAATTTATATCAGCGTTAATAATGTTTGCACAGCTCGAGTACCTTCAAAATTGACAATATATTCTGGGATTGTAGTACCAGCATTGACAACAAAGATAAAGAAATGTTTGGTTAGTAACTAAAAAAAAAATAATTCATACAACTTAAATTAGCACTAGCAAACCAAGAGAAACATTTAATAGGTTTTGCACAGTGAACAATAAGCAGAACCAAATGACATACTGAAAGCAAGAGAACCACCAGACTCCATGTTCACCGACTTTGGAAATTTTTGACAGGAGACGATCCAATTTCAGAAAAAAAATGGGTCTGTGCGTGATCCATGTATATGCTGATAACCTGAAACAAGAAAACACGAAGTTCCCAATTCCGTGTATTTCACATCTTCAGGGGTGAGTACTGACTAAGGAGTTGTTGTTTTTGAAATGTAGAGTAGAGAGCCGTTTGCTCTGAAGATACAAGATGCTGTAGGGAAAAGGTAAAGTTAGGGCGTAAGAAATAAAGTGGGAGATTTGATAGCAGGTTGTGGGCTATCCACCTTTTCGTGTATCTTAGTTTTCATTGTGTGTATATTGGTTCTGGTTCTGTGTCATCGTTTATTATGCTCTTTGGCCACCAGCTGTGTGTTGTGGTAATGTCTTCATGCATTAGTTGTTGTAATATGGGGTCCTCTAAGCCTTGTAGTTTTTCCCATTGTGCGTTCTGATGTTGATTGTTGTTTAGATTATGTTCTGTGTGTAGCTCGCCGCTGTCAGTTTGTGTATATGGTGGTCTGAGTTTTACTGCTTCTCTGAGGGCTACGTTTTGAACTGCCTGTATTTTGAGTTATTTGTTTTTGTTGTAGTGTTAAGTGGAATTGGGGGATATTCCAGGTATGGCCTGACTAGTGCTTTATAAAGATGTAGTTGTGTACTGGTGTTTAGTTTGCGGAATCTTCTGAGTTTAGTTAGTTGGGTCTTTCTTTGATATGTGGGAGTATGCAATTTCTTGTAATTATAAGGCCAAGGATGATCTCTGGTTGTATTTATTTTCGTGCTTTAGGTATTTTCCTAGTCTATGGTTTATTATTTTTTTCCAGGATTTTGCCGGGGTGTTTCGAGGAATAATATGCGTCTGTAGTTTTCTGCCTGTGTTGGGTTCTTTCCTTGTTTTGGAATGAGTCTTATTTTGGTCATTTAAAATTTTGGTGGAAAGAATCCGCTTGCTATTGATGCATTGTAGATATCTGCAGTGTTTGGTCATTGGTGGAGATATGTTTTGCAGTACGGTTTTGTTTATTTGACTTATTCCGGGTGATTTATTCTTAAAGCTGGTAATTGATTCCTTGATATTATGTGTGGTTATTGAAGTAATTAGTGGGCTAATGTTATCTAACGTATTGAGGTTGATTGTCCTGTAGGGTTGCCATTTGTCTGTGTTTTGGTTCAGGTGTGTTTCCACCATCTGTTCTATTTCTCTGCACAAGTTTCTGTTGTCCTCATCCGTAATTTGGTAAATGCCGATCCCAAATGTTCTAAATATTGGTTCTTTGAATTTCGGTTCATGATCTTTTTTCCATTGTTGTCTCTAAGGTAGCTGTTTTCGACTGAGTTGGTTTCCATGAGATTTTTAACTTTGGTCCAAAAGTCTTTCGAATCTTTGTAGTCTGCTTGTGTGTTGGTAATTAGTTGATTCCATTTTTCACTGTATTTTATTTTGCACCTCTCTTTTAGTTCCTCTTTGAGGTTTCTATATAGTACTGTGGTGTGTAGGCTCCAGCCGTGTGTTTTATAATTCGTATAGGTTGGTGAATCTGGTTTGGATGATCTTTTCTTCATGCGTTACTTGTGCATATGGTAGTGTGCGAAATGTTGTTTTTGGGATGTTGTTTTTCATGGCTGTTGTGATTTTTGCATACCAAGTTTTTAAAACAATATCGATTTCGTTTGTGTTTTTGTTGTAGAGTTGTATAGTGTCGTCGGTGATGAGGCTGTTTTAAAATTTTCGCAGTTTTCTCTATTGAATGATTATCTTGGTATCGAGGGAAATTGTATTGGTGATGTGGAGAACGTTGTCACTGGTGCTGGTGGGTCCAGCTTTTGTGTGTGTGTGTGCAAATGGTGGTGCGGATCAACCTCGGTAGATATAAGGCTATGGGAGTAAACCCCAAACGAAAGATCTGTGGTGGAGTCCCACATCAGGCAGACATGCTTACAGAGCTCCAACAAGACCCCAACGGCGGTATAGGCAGAAGAGGTGACCACCATGGGAACCCAACGACTACACCGGCGGACGAAGATATTGCATGATGGACAGGCTACTAAGGCGAAACCCAACAAACTGTATTATCAGCAATCCATTGCAACTCTCCCTCTCCCCAGTCGTTGCAACACTTGCACCACTGGATCAGGGAAAGCCAAGAACTGTGGTTGCAGCCTGCGCTCCTGCCTCACCATATAAATCAACTCACACGCAGCCATCATCCAGCTCATCATACCTCTCATCATCATCAAAACCTCTATACCCCCCAAAAGTTCTATGGCGACGGACGAGTGACGACGGGGACAGGCAGTGATGACTGCACAAGGGCGGCACAGATAAGATGAAAATGAGCCGTCAATCAATGTACTCATCTGTGATAAACGTGCTGCATTAACTGACTGGCAGAACAACCCTCAGTCTCAGACCAAAGCTGACACCTTCTGCAAGGAGAAAGCGGCAGCCCAGCTGGAACTTTACAATCTAAAGAAAGACTGGTTTAAAAATAAAGCATGTGAAACACAAAAATTTGCAAATCAGCACAAGATGCTCATATTTTTCAATTCCACTAAAATATTTTATGGGCCAATCAGTTGTGGTGCAGCTCCGCTCCACTCATCCGATGGTAATTCCATAATTAAAGATGATGAAGGCCTCCTTCAGCGATGGAAAGAGCACTAACATTCACTGCTCAACCGAAACAATGTGGATGTCCTGACTACCCAGCAGGTGCCTCAGCATCCAGAGTTGACCCACCTCAACTATCCTCCATCGCTGGATGAGGTAGCTACTGCCATCAAACAGATGTAAAATAACAATGCCCCAGGGCCTGATGGAATCCAACCGAGGTGTAAAAGCAGGAGGACCTCTGTTTACTAGCCGTTTCCACTCTCTCCTGAAGAATAAATGGGAAAAGGAGGAAATTCCCCAAGCTCTTAAAGACGCCTCCATCGTCAAGAACAAGGGAGACTGGTCAGACTGTGGTAACTACCACAGGATCTCGCTGCTGTCCGTAGCTGGCAAGATTATCGCCCGAATCCTCCGAAACAGACTTCTTCCTGAGGTGGAAAACTTTCATCCAGAATCTCAATGTAGCCCTAGACCATCACGTGGCACCACTGACATGATCTTTGCTGCCCCTCAGATACAGGAAAAACGCAGAGAACAGCGTCGTGACCTGTACATGGCTTTCATCGACCTAACCAAGGCCTTCGACTCGGTCAACAGAGAAGCCCTCTGGTGGATCCTCAGCTGTTTTGGTTGCCCACCAATATTTATCGCCATTGTGAGGCAACTCCACGATGGCATGAACGGCAGTGTCCTGCACAATGGCACCCAGGTTGAGTTCTTCCCCATCTAAACGGGGGTTGAAAAAGAGTGTGTACTGGCACCAACTCTCTTTTCCACTTTCTTGGCTGCCTTCCTTACTCGTGCCAGCGCCAATTTTGCCGGCGGGATGGACATCAGGTACCGGGTGAAGAGTCTTTTCAGCATAAGACGACTCCAGGCAGGAACAAAGGTGTCAGTAGCTTCCATCACTGAGCTTCAGTATACAGACAACCTCACCCTTGTCGCTTACACTGAACGCGACCTACAGAAGATCCTGAACACCTTCGCAGATGCATATGCACACTTCGGCCTTGAGGTAAATGTATGTAAGACTCAGATTCTCTTTCAGCCTGCCCCTGGTTCAGCCACACCTCCATTGTGGTTCTCAGTCTCTCCATGGTCAGGTTGTTTATGTGGCTGAGGATCTCCTTGGTGCTGCCTGAATAGCCAGGGGCTTTATTTTTGGTATTGGAGATGGCTGTGTTGAGTTCTTCCGAGGTGATTGGTTTGGACAGTGGGCTGTCCACTCTCAAATCCTCCCATATGATTTCAGGGGAAGGCTGAGTGCGGTGTGTCTGGCCCCGGAGTTCACCAAGGACGAGCTCCTCCTGGGTACCATCAAATCCCCTGTTCTCTTCTTTTGTGATTCGGAAGATGTTCCTCCATATGTCCCTGAATATGGGTTCTTTGTCTTGGTCGTCATATATTTTACTTCCTGCGTGGTCAGTTATATATGATGACTCGTTACGGCTGCAACCTTTCAGTCTCTTAACTCAACGCCAGAACTCCCCTGGATCGTTGTATGTACAGTATGTGAGAGTTGTTCAACTATTTCGGCCCATTTAAGGTTGCTTTGTTCCAGAGATCTTGGTTTTATTTCCTCCCGTATTCTTCTATATGTATTGTAGCTTACGATGTCCCAACCATGGGTCTCGGCTCTCTGTTGTAGCAGTTGGAACTGGTTTGTGAGGGCTATGAGTTCTGGAGTCTGTTGTGGGTGTGGGAGAGTTCAGTTGCGTTTGAGAGGCGTGGCCTCCTGGTAGGCTGTTCCTATGGCTTCACACCATGTGTTGATTTCTTCGTCTATTTTGTTCACCGGCTGACTGTCTATGGTCTGCAGGATTGTCATGTCCTTGGCCTCAAGTTTGGCTGTAGCTTTTTCGTTGAGTAGTTCCCAGTCGGTCTGCTTGGCGATCCTCCGTGGTGGAGCTGGTATAGTTATTGGTGTTGCTGAGATGGTCCTGATTATAGGTAGGTGGTCGCTGGAGGTTACAGGGCCTTGTTCAAAGAGATAGTTGTGGAAGCAGCTGCCGTTTGTTATTGCTATATCTGGAGTAGTGGCTGAGTTCCTACTGTAGAACGTGGGGAAGTCCGGGCCTATTAGTTGGGCTTTTTTGTCTTTTAAGAAGCCAGCGAAGCCTCTTCCAACATTGTTAGTTGTCCTCTTACCATCTAGTAGAGGATGTCTGGCGTTCATGTCTCCAATGATGTAAGTTGGGTGGTGGTATGATAGGAGTCTGTGGAAGTACCCGTAAGACAGGTAGTCCCTGCGTGGTGGGAGGTAGGTTGTGGTTATTATGATTGGTCCTGCGGTCAAGTTGATTTCAAAAGCGAGAGTTTCAGAGGTGAAGTCGTCTATTATTCTGTGGTGGACAGCTCTCTTTATGGCGATGGCCACCCCGTCATTTGGCTCCACTGATAGATTGGATTTATGGATCCTGTAACCAAATATTTTCAGTTCCTCAGCAGCTTTTTGGCCGTGTGAGTTTATAAGTGTAATATCTGCGTCAACTTGGTTGTATTGGCTGGACAAACTGAATTTATTAGTTCTCCAGTGGAGGACGTTATGTTGCATTATTTTCACTGCCTTACGTAGCGAGTCCATTGTTTCTTGTTCTTGTTTTTGGCTGGATCCGTAGGAGTCGTGATTTGTTCTCTGTGCGTACATTCCTCAATTTTTTTATCATCCGAACGGATGACTTTTTGATGCAGTTTGTTAAATTGACCTGTTTTTGTTTAATGGCCTTGTGGATGTCCACCTCGGAAATGGGGTGGCAGTACTTCCATTTCATCTTGTAATCAATTACTCCTTTAGGGACTTCATCACGTGTACAGTCCTCGTTGATGTGGTCTGGTATGTAGATGCGTAGATTCAGGTCTTTATCTGATAGATCGCTTGGAGTCTGAGAGACAAGTATCATCTCCGGTGTGGGTACTTGTGCATCCACACCAGAGCCCACTGTTGTCTCCTCTGTGAATGTTGGAGATTGGGGGACAAGTATCATCCCCGGTATGGGTACTTGTGCACCCACACCAGAGCCCACTGTTGTCTCCTCTGTGAAGTTGGAGTTTGGGGGACAAGTACCATCTCCGGTGTGGGTACTTGTGCACCCACACCAAAAACTACTGTTGTCTCCTCCGATGTTGAGGATGTTGCCGAGAACAGTTTTGGGATGGGCAGATTGTGGTGGCGTAAGCATTTTTCGAGTATTGTTTGAAAGCAGCCTGGGTGCAGAACATCCTCATCATAGGCGTGTTTGACACTCATGTTGGCTAGTATGTCACGGTCATGGAGGTAACTGTCTCTGGCATTCAACAAGACTGTAGAGTCTGTAGTGGCTGCAGGGACCATAGTATGTCCGTGCAGTGACTGCAGGAGTCGGGGTCCCTATCGGCAGTACAGCCTTGTATGGTGATACTGATGTTTTTGTGGCTTTTTGCTGTGCTTCCTTGATTTTTTCCTTTCTTTTGGGACAGTGCATGGACATAGTGCTGTGAGGCCCCTCACAGTTAAGGCATTTTAGAGGTGCATTACATTGGGTCCAGGTATGTTCCGTAGAGGTACATTTGGAACAGATCTTGTATTCCCTGGGTTTGGGGCAGTTCACACTAACATGATCCTCAATGACATACCACCTGAGGCAGGTACGTGTGTGGTGGTACTGTTCCTGTTGTATTTGGTGGTACGGTATGCTATAGGTGAATGCGAGGAGACCTGATTTGGTTGCTTTTTCAGCAACCTCGGTGCTTTTGAACTGAATTTTGATTATGCATTTGCCTTTTTTACTGGTGAATTTTTTGACATAGTCCACCTTGTTCTTCGCCCAAGCGTTTTCTTTTTCAATCGCTGCTTTTATTTCCACTTCAGACTCTTCGTGCACGGATTCATCCGTTTGGAAGCAGAGAACAGTTCTTTTAGCCTTCAAGGCAGGAGGCAGGATTGGGTCATAGTGCTCTTCCCTTAGATTGTCAAACATCTCTGGGGCCAGAGGTTATCCAGGTCTTGGTCTTCAAGCATGAGCATGATGAAGCCATCTTTTGCTTCTATTACGTTCTGGTACCTGACATTGTGTTTGCGAACAATTTCTGTCAGCTTCCGCTTGGTGGACCTGTCTGGTGACCTCTGGTCTGTGATTAGTATTTTTGCTTTGACAGTCATTATTTCTTCTTTGAGTGAAGCACGATAGATCGGCGCGAGTTATGTGCGTAGCCTAGGACAGTATATAGCGCTGTCAGTACTACGTTCCCTATGCCGGCAAGAAAGAGGGCCGGGATATCAGTTGCCCCACTGTCTTGGTTGAAGGTTTTAAAGACCACAAGAGCAGTTCACTCCCAAGAACAGCAGTTTGGTATGGCGAAAAGAAGAGGTTAAGATTCAGATTTGAAATGGTGTACAAGTGTGTGATTGTGGTAGTGTCGCAATAATTGGCAGCATGGCACTGGCTGTGCAGGGTGGTGGCGGGACGGAGGGTGTTTGGGGAGGGGCAGCTACTGACTGTTAGGCCTAAGGCTGTTCCCCTCATACACACTGGGCCAGGGTGCCCGGCCGGCTTAAACAGGAAAGAATACCGTTATTTCCCTATATGATGCTTAGATCAGGAGTTTTTAGTGCGTAATTCTTGAGCCCCAATTGATTCCCCATAGAGAATGACAAGAATCAGGGCCGTACGACCCGATGGGGCCCAGGAATCTCCGAATTTCCAGGAGCTCTCTCCTACACGTCCGTCCACTACCACTGCCACCGGTGGTAGGCACCAGTTTCCACCCCCCCCCCTCCCTGCACACCAAACAAGGAGACCTATGTACGAATGCAGCGGCGTGGGGCTTTAAAGGGACCTTGACACTAAAGCCCTGCCACAATGGACAGAAGCAATTATCATAATAATAAAAATATTATTATTATTATTATTAAGCCTACGATAAGAATTATTTCACATTGGAAACTGATATATATATATATATATATATATATATATATATATATATATATATATATATATATATATATATATATATATATATATATATATCACAAAAACATACAGACAACATCAGGCGATAAAATTCTCAATTTTCCTGCAAAGTCATAACATTCAGTCTTGGGAGACTTTCTATCATTTGTACCTTTAATCGATCATGGTAGAGCTGGTCTTCTTCAGGTATCTTGTAACTGAAGCCTGTAAAGAAGTCGTGCTCTAATAGTTGATCACATGTCCATCTCTTAGCTGGGTCTCTATCTATGCATTTCTGAAAGGGTTAATTAATCATCATTAGGTATATATGTGCCATAAGAGAGTCTCTCAATAAGTATCAACATCGCTCATTAAGATACAGTCAAGGGCTTTTTTTAGGTTGTATATGTTTGTTTACTAATAAGCAACTCATTAATACTTTATTATGTTTACAGGGAGATTATCAAATAAGGACAAATTTAATTGAAGCACTGACATATAACTGATAAAACCTAACAAAACAGATATAACACAGAACAAAACGGAAAAAGAAAGAAAAAAAGACAAACAACTTGACAAAATCTTTTTCTTCATCATCTCCCTTAATGTTACTTGGCCCACGCTATCATTTGACAGTTGCAGCTGTTTTTTTTCCTCGATGCATTTGTATGCGAGAATTTTTACTGAATCAACATCTATCTTTTTTTTTAAATCTTCCCCATACCTCACTTATCCTACATTGTCATTTTCCTCTCCTATCTTACAATCACACCATATAATTCCATTAGTTACACTTATCAGACTAGTTCATCGATCATTTATAAACTCTCTTTCTGCTAATACAACTGTGGATTTAAAAACTGTCTCTTTATCTGGTACTGTCTCTATATCCCATGCCATCTGACAAAATCTTACTTGGATGCTTATTATTTATCCTTTGTATGTTTCAACATTTCTCCCCTAATACCATCACTTACCGGAGCTTACCCGAAGTCTAATTTGCTAATTTATGTTTTATTTACTCGTCAGATGTTTCTTATTGTAATTCTAGTTACCCTTCCGGTTACAAACCCAACAGGAACTGTTTGCCTCTTTTTTTTTCAACTACTTACTAGTTCTTCTGTTTCCGTTAAAGTTCTTCCCTCTCCATCATATATGGAATGTGATGACGTTATATAAAGCTAGTAAATATACAAATGCTTGTAGGGAAATGAAAAGTTTCAGGTGGTAAAAAACAAAGGGGTGTTTGTATTATTGTAAACCAGAAGTTGAGCAGTAGTGCAAAGGGATTTTGGGTAGTGTGAGATACAATTTTGTTAGGCAAGTTTAATGCTGAACCCATGGACTTGGTAATAATACAGGTTTATGCACCAGCAAATTTATGAAGATTTAAGAAAGCAAAGGACACCGCGAAGTTTAATGAATATCTGATTATAATGGGTGATTTTAACGCAAAACATGAGAAAGGGAAAGAAGCACCAGAAGTAGAACCACATGATTATGGTAATAGAAATGAGGGAGGAGAAATATTAATAGACTTTTTTAAGGAAAACAAGATGAAAATAACAAATACATGGTTTAAACAACACCGTAGGCATACATGTGAACAACATAGGATTCAAACACATTGTATTTCATTTCAGAAAAGATTCAGAAATCTAATATCCCGAACCAAGACCTATCCAGGGGCAGATTGTGGGTCAGATCGTGTCCAAGTAATGGGTTTAGTGAGGCTAAAACTTTAAAAAAAAAAAAAAAAATTGGACAAAATCAGTTAGGATTTAAGGAAGCTCTAAATAAGGGCAGGGATAGAATATGAAATTGAAACCGAAAAGAGATTTTCAGTATTACTAGAGGATGACAAATTAATAATAATTTCAAAGAAGTACTGTTAGAGACTACGGAAAAACTTACAGGACCGAGGAGGAAATAAATGGGGTGAGACTATTAAAGGCAAAGACTATAAGATCATGTTTAAGGCAGAAGACGTAAAGGAGAGATAGTCAGAGTAAGTAAAAGAACTATACTGTACAATAATAAGCATAGAGTTGGGGTAAGAAACGAAAAAGGAAATAAAGATCAAACAACCAATTCTGGACACAGAAGTTGAAACAACTGTGAGGAAAATTAAAATTGATGAAGTTTTCAGCAGAATTTATAACATAAATTGGCAAGAATGGGATAAAATGTTTGACTAAATTATGTAATTCTGTATATTTCAAAGAAGATCTTCCCAGTGAGTAAAAAAAATCAATATTTGTATTATTACCTTAAAAGCCAGGAGTCTTACGCCCGGAGTTTTGACCACCTTCTTCTGATGACGGGGGTCGTCGTGTTTACAATCCAGAATCTAAAAAAAAATTGAGCCACGAAGGTCGCAGCACTGCAGTGCTCGACAGAGAGGTGTGGAGGTAAATTTAACCTTTAATATTGGAATTAAATTATATCTCTGCCACACCTCCGTCAAACATTGTAGTGCGGTGTTCTTCTTGACCCATTTTTTTAAAATTATGGTTGTAAACTCGACGACTCCCGTCATCGGAAGAAGGTGGTAAAAAATGGGGCATTAACTTCAATTTGAAAAAAAGGCTGTTGAAAGGCTTTATATGGCAAGGACTGATGTATGGGTAAGAAGTGTGGACACTTTCAGCAGACACCAGACAGAGGTTGGGGGCATTTGAAATGTGGTGTTATAGGCGAATGCTAAGAATAAGCTACACTGTCAGGAAAACAAATGAAGAAGTACTAAGATTAGCAAAAAAAAATAAAAAAAATGTGAAATGTACAGAAAAAGAAAGAGAGTTAGCAGGAATTCGTGGTATAATGTTGTCTAGCACTCAGGATGGATGGAAACTCTAATGTGGTTTTCTTGTATAATATAAGTTATATGATAGACAGTCTGGTGCTGGAGGTGCCGTGTGGTGAGGAGCTGCTCAGTAGAGACGTTCGGTGAGTAGCGTGTTGAAGGAGGTAGATGTGCAGGAGCTTCGTTAGAGAAGATGTTGCCTGTTGCTGGCCTCCTGGTTGAATGAATGCTGACAGCGTGGAGCTTGCTGGAGGAGGTGTTGCTTGTTGAAGAAGAGAGACCAGAATGAGAGCTGGTTGGTGAGGAAGCTCAGAGAAGGAAAGCTGGTGGGTCGCCATGCTCGCTGGCGGGAGCGAGGACCGCCAGGCAGGCGGAGGAGAGGCGAGAGCCGCCAGGCAGCGGAGGAGGAGGAGGTGTTGCTTGTTCAGGAAGAGAGGCTAGAATGAGAGCTGGTTGGTGAGGAAGCTCAGAGAAGGAATGCTGGTGGGTCGCCATGCTCGCTGGCGGGAGCGAGGACCGCCAGGCAGGCGGAGGAGAGGCGAGGGCCGCCAGGCAGCGGAGGAGGAGGAGGAGGTGTTGCTTGTTCAGGAAGAGAGGCTAGAATGAATCTCAATGGAGAGACAGAGCTTATATACCCAGCAGCCGTGAGTCCTCTATGAGTCATGTTGGGAAAACCCGAGAAAGTCGCCGGTCTTTTGGTTAGGTTAACTAGGATACGGTGACATTGGAATGCGATAGCAGTTGTAGGGAGAGTCCACTACAAGATACTTATTATGAGGGGATAATAAAAAAAATATTAATGGGCAAAGTTGAGGGAAGGACAGCCAGGGGAAGGCAGAAACTGGGATGGATGAATGAAATTAAAAACTGGGTCCCCAGAGAGATACAGAATCTTGAAGGATTGGTAAAAACAGTTTGAGGATGGAACTCTGATTGATCGATTCCTTTCTCTTTCCCACAAGATAATGGGTGGCGCTTTATTACTGCTCTCTGAACAGTCACCCATCGAAATGCCTTGCTTGACTTACTTTGCTTACGTCTACAGAAATAAGATGATCGTAACTGTTACATTTGTATGCACACATAAGCTGCTGTAATGATACATGGTGTAGACTAACATAATGACCGATAGAGATACTTTCTTCACTGTTATGACTGCTTGTGTAATAATAAAGCTGTTGATGTTGAATATCGTATCATTCCTATTAATTGATGACACTGATTTTTTTCTGGATTAAACATCAAGCTCCTAACAACAACGCCAAACTTTTAGCGGTTTACAAATGAGTCTGGCGCTGTTTTAAATGTGTAATAAAAATTTTGAAGAGTTTTTTTCTTCAAATATATACATTACTACGACACTTCTTAAATTAAAAAAAGAATAGTTTTATAAAAATCTGGCGATCAAGAAAAAGAATGGAAGGTCATACGTACCTTGAGAAAGTCTAGTCCTTCTCGTGGGAAGGACTTGGGCATTTTGCTTTCAATAGGATCTACAGTATCAGGCTCTGGTATATTCATGCCTCGAAAAAATTCATTGTCCTTGAATATCCGCATGTGGTCAGGCAGTAGGTCACCTGTAAGAAAAGTCAACCGTTACACCTTCCCGACACAGTGTTCGTTAGTAATGAAGGCTCTTCTAGTGACAGTATTTCTGCATAAACGAATAGTTAACTATACTGTATCATGTCGAGAATCCGTAAATTTTTATAGACTCAACATCACAGAGTTGACGATATTTTTAATTTTTTCCACATAAATTATTGAATGTAAGTATATCGCAATTGTTTCCTCATAAATTAATACTGTGGCAAGGATTTTCATAACTTTCACATATACAAATGTTTTACTGCCTTATATTGATTTTATATGAAAGTAAATTTCTTCAATTATGTCTTACCATATACAAAGATGCAGCAAGAATCACCCACCTAGTGTTTTCCTGATTAAGTACAGCTGGTCAACATCAGACTTGCCCGGCCATAAAGCTTCTCCTTTAACCAGCTCTGCGAGGACACAGCCAATAGCCCAAACATCAACAGGTGTACCATACTGTGTGTCCCCCACCAACAGTTCTGGGGCACGGTACCACCTTGTGGCTACATAGTCAGTTAGGTTATCACCAGGACCTTGAAGAACAAATTACAGATTGTAGCATTAGAACTTCCACATTATATGACAGACATTTGTATAAATAATAAACAATAAAAATATACACAAATCAAGTTTATTTTTATAGATATCACATTTTTATATTCAACCACCCACTTACATGGTGCTTCAGTAGGCTGTTAGTCCAGTGCAGGATTATATTTTCATTTGATCATTGCTCTTCCACTTAAAGTACACATTTTTTTTTCAAAATTAATTTTTATGTTTGTTACTTCATTGATCTTATTTTTATCCTTTAACTAGTTTGTATCGAACTTATAAAAAACAAACTGGGAATTTTCAGGGTTTATAAAATTAAACCAGAAACATAATATTTTCTTTTCACATGTTAAGACATGGATGTCACTGGAAGATATGAAATTCAATGAAATACGAGTATATGGGAAAAAATGTATGGGAGGAAATTAGAGGTTTAAAAAATAATTGGCTCCAGCGTGACGTCACCACCAAATGGGACACTATTGTCTTCGAACAGAGAGTTCGAGCTAGCACCATGTTTGTTATAAACTGAACACCAGCAGGGACGTTTAACAAATATATACTATATTGGGAACACGGTGTGGGAGTTTGTACCAAAAGTCACTATCTAATTCGCACTTTGGGAGCTTTTCACCATTATTAAAAATACTTCGTGTTTTCTTCTTTCGTTGTGGTTATCAGCATACACCTTTTCACATATCCGTTGAGACATTGTTACATAACTATTTGACAAATTTCATAACCGAATGACAGAACACATATCGAATGACAATCTAAAATAACTGTTGGTGGTATGTCATTCTCTAATTGTTACATTCTCAAACTATATGTAGACTGTCGGTTTTGACCCCGCTACAGGTAGGGCCGGGGCTGGTGTCTACATCTCCCGTCCTGATGCCCCTGAGCCTATCAAACTGTCTCTCAGAGATTCTGACGGGGCATCCTCCACTCAGGCTGAACTAATAGCCCTCCTTGCTGCGCTTCTCGCTGAGGAAGAAGCAGATGGTTTCTGCCCCTTGCTTGTCTGCTGCGATTCCAGGTCTGTTCTCAACGGGATCGCATTTGGATCAGGGGAAAATAAGGACCTCATCCTCCGAATACGAGGGTTAACATCCACACTTCAGGATGCAGGCCGTCCTGTGACATTCCTATGGATACCCAGTCATGTCGGTATCTTGGGGAATGAGGCAGCAGATGGCCTTGCCAAGACTGGCTGCAACAAGGCCACACCTGACTACGTTGTTCCTCGAACACTTTTACAGCTTAGGACCCAAATTCGCCGCAAACAGAGAGAAGCTCGGGAAGCAACCATCCCCCTGGACTCCTCGCCCATCTGGTACGATGTCCTCCGTAAACTTCCTGACCTCTCGTACGTCTATGGGAAAGGGTCGAGGAAAAGGGACGTGATTGCTGCCCGTATCATCATTGGGTATGACTTTGCTTGGGAGATTGATATCCCCGCATCCCCTGAGCAACGCTCTTGTGCATTATGAAGAATAACCCGACAGCAGTACCCTTATCCACTACCTCCTAAGATGTCCCCACACACAACGCTTCCGTGACGCCTGCTGGACCATCACTCCACGACCCCCTGACGGAGACACGATGATCCTCCCCATACTAGCCAGATATTTTGTAAATAACATTGATTATGTGTTAAAGGAATATCCTTCCTTCCTTAGGCTTTAGTAAGCCCCTTTATAATATTTATACTGTATATACTTGTCACACTTGCCAGATGCTTCTGGTGTCATTGTACAGGGGTACCTAGTGACAGCACTAGGATCCCGCTTTCTCTATCAAGGAATAAACAATTGAAATTGAAAAAAATGACTGTCGGTTTATTGTTCACGTCTGTCAACTTCATAACTTATGTCAATCACTTCCGTTAGCATGAACGAACAGTTATTTTAGATTGTCATTCGATAAGTGTTCTGTCATTCGGATATGAAATTTGTCAAATAGTTATGTAACAATGTCTCAACGGATATGTGAAAAGGTGTATTGTTGGGGGTGTAGCAGTTTATCTGACCGTTCATGCTGATTTTCCGGTAATTTTACCACTCTTGCTTCAGTTTGTTCTTCGGAATTTCATCTGAACATAAAATAGAAACAGGTGCTGTAATCACTATGATTCATACAAGCTTGCAGCGAGAAGAAAAAAAAAAGCATTTCGTTTTCTATAAAAAATCTAACTAAGTTATCTGTGATTCACGACAACAGGTACGCTATTTGCCTACTGGTGATCCGCACCCTCGGGTTAAGACTAGTCATCTGTGAACAATGCCAGGATTTAGCAGGAATGACGCCGGTAAACTTGACAATTAACCTGTTGTTTGTTTTCTCGTGTGCTTTTCGGCAAGAGCAGTAGTCCTTTCCAGCTACAGACTGGTATCCATCCCTCCTTTCCAAACCCTCCCTATTATCTTTATTGTACACTGGCAATTCATTTTATTATTCTGACTACTGTAATTATTAGTTTCACGCAGCGAAGCTACTGGTCGCCATTGTAAAGACTCGGCCTTTGCCCTAGACTCTAGACTCAGCTGAGGCTCCAGCTACACCTATCCATCTGAAATATTTTCATAGAATAGTGGACGAGTCTAATGTTCCTGCCATAATCCTGTGAGTATCAAATGCTTCAATTGACTTCGGACATATCGATATATGTAGATACACATGGTTCGGGTGGGTGAAGTTAGCTCCTTTGGACAAAATTAGAACGTTTTTAGATAAGGATGTGTTTGGCACTGGAGATGAGGTATGTACACTGTACAGTATATATGTACACATATAAAAGTATCATGAGTTATTTTTATATGCTTCTACTCTACGGTATCTGGATTAGAGGATTATGCTACTATAATCGTATAAATATGTAGCACTGTCAATTCAATACAGTTGATACACATCTACCGGAGTCCTGTGTATGTCGTCAAACAGATGCATTGTTGTCAAGCTGATGTCCAAGAAGCTATACCGTCTGTATATATATATCTAACACTATCAGATGTAAAGCAGCGGTTTGGGTGTCATCAAAAAACGCCACTGATCTAAAAGATGCTAAAGTCTTAGCAACTAGTAGCAAGCAACAAGATGTATGCTGCCGGATTACTAAAAAAAAGATACCAAGCGTAGTAGGAGGTACAGGAGTTTCCACCGTGTTTCTTCAAGAATCAATGTGCTTGAGTACAAAAAGGGTTTAAAGTAGGAGTGTTATTACGGAGAGCAAAAGGGCGTCCCTCTCACATCCGACTCCACAATCAAAATACGTAGTCCTTCCTCTAAAGTCTAATTTGCTATTAACGGGACCGAAGTAAACAAAGGAGGTCACCCCATCCTGCAAGCAGAGTGTGGAGGGTGAATCATTGATAATCGTCATGAAATTGACAATAGTGTATTATCGGCCGCCAACCTACTGTTGCAAGCGGCTCTAGTAGTTGTAACTGTAGCTTCTTTGTCACCAAGGAGTGAGCAACTGCGGTGTGACGACGAAGTAGAGGAACTCCATCCATCTTCGTATGACATACTTAAGTATATTAAGTAGGAAAACCTAGGGAAGTAACCAGAGGTATTCAGTGGAATTTGAACGTTCATGGCACTTCAATCATGTTATACCTTTTCCTAATAAAGTAAGTTACCCAGGAATCCCTAATCACAAATTATCTGCTTAAAGTTATAAAAAGAATAATAACATGGAGGTTACTATACTTCTGGAGTCGAACAGTGTTCAAATTTATCAACAAAGGGATTTCCACAAGGGCAGGGGCATCTTTGATTCTTTACTAAACTTAGAGTATGAGCCAGAAAATGTTTTCGTTTACAAGTAAATTTTAGTAGCAGTATTCATTGATTTGAATAAAACTAACAGCATGTCCCGTTTCATCCCTAATTGCTTGATTGACAGGTCATTTATCAAAACTATAAGGAATGTAATTTTCGTCGCACGCTCGTCCAACAAAACGGGTTTCGTCGGAGCAAGCGTTATGAGACTGGTTTCATTTCTCATAAAAACTAGTAATTTTCTTTCTCCTTCCCCCATTTCCGAAACCGTAAATAATCACTGTTCACAGTCGTCCCTCTATTTGAAAGGCAGCCTTTCTATTGGTTACAGCTCGGTGTCGTGGCAACACAATATTGATGACTACAGTGAGGATTTAAAAAATGTCTTTCTCACATAATCGGAAAAAAAACTCTAATGAATCATCTATGCTGAAACTACATAGTGAAATATCACTTCTTACTGTTCAAGGATGGCAAGAGTAACAGGTCAACTCCTGCCAAAATCAACTTGTCCCATATCAAATTGTGTTAAAGACTACTACTTTGCTGTCACTCAGAATCGACTATGACAATAATACCACCTTTGATAAAATGATATGAGTTATTAAGGATGTCAACTTCGTTGGTGAGCACTGAGGTGACTAGAGAGGCCGATACAGGACCGGCAGTGTCGTTCTCATATGTTGCACGTGTGGAGGGAAACATCTAGTGTGGAGGGGCGGTGGCAGCGTCTTTCTGGCGTTGGCGCTTGTCTGCCTTGGTATGCAGTCGGGCTAACACGAAAGTAATGACACCTTCTTGTGTGGTGATTCTCCAAGCGTTACCGTGTGGAGTAATCGTCTCCCAGGCGAGTGGGTCGATTTGGCACTTTTTCAGGTTTGTCTTAAGACTATCCTTATACCTTTTCAGCTGCCCACCAGCGATACATTTACTATTCATTAGGTGACTGCAAAGTAGCTGCTTTGGAAGTCTACTGTTGTTCATGCTGGTAATATAGTTAGGACAACGTACTTGTTCATGAACAATGGTAACCTCGATGCTCCTACAGTTGGTGTCAGCAAAAATAATGGCATTTGTTCTTTTATCCTTCAAGCGAACTCGAAGGATGGAATTTAGACTACGTTGGTGAAAGTTTTCAAGTGCCCTGAGGTGCCTCCTGTATGTGACCCATGTCTCACTGCCATATAACAGGGTG